TCTCCCTCTCTCCCTCTCTCCCTCTCTCTCTCTCTCTCTCTCTCTCTCTCTCTCTCTCAACAATGATTTTATACCAGAAAATCAAAGCTACATGCATTTACGTTTAGTTAATTATGATTAACAAAAAATAAATTATACAAATAAAACATTAGCAAATTACAAGTAACAGTCACAATGACTTTGGCTGCGTTCAACATAAAAAGTAACACTTTGCAGCTGTTATAAAATTCTTGAGAATATAATGAGTTTATACATTTAGGTCCAATGAGAAACTAATAGGTCAATTCTAAGCAAACATATCGTAAAATCGTAAAATCACAAACTGTAATGCTTATAACTTTATGTAAAGTTTTTACAGACAACTTTTTGCTAGCCGTAAGATTTACGAGAAATTTGTAAGTATTTACGAACAATTGTATATTTTACGATACGCGTAGAATTACAATTTCAGCCTTAAGTTCTTACAAATCTTACAAGGACAAGTTACGAGCCTTACGAGTTTGGTTAGAATTAACCCATAAGGGCAAAACTAAGAACTAATTGCTCCACTTTTCAATATATTGTACCCGTTAGGTAAATCTGATAATCTGCATATATGATTAAGTAATCTTGATACTTACATAACAGGTAAAATGTACCAGAAGGTGGAACAACCAGTCCTAATCGTATTAAAGAATAAATGGCTGCGTTTAGCAAACACAACAGTTTTGCAATTGTTTTATGATTCGTCTCTCTGATTGGATTATACTTTCAGATCTAAAGGAATAGTCCTATCTCAGCGGAGAATCATAAAACAGTTGTAAAACTGTTGAATCTGCTGAACGCGACCAATTTTTCAACACAATTGCAAATAGTGATGGGCACTTAATCGATTAAATCGATTATAGACGGCCGCATAATCGACAGCAATCGATTATTGGACAGTCCTAAGGTCGGAATCAGACTATACATTGAATGCCTGATTCATGCTTCAGGTCTTAATCCCAAGATCCTAAAATTCAACCAATAAAGCTGCCAGTTCTAACCAGTTCTAACCGAAATTTGAACTCTATTGGCTGAATTTTAGGATTAAGACCTTAAGACCGAAGCATAAACCAGGCAGAAGATTGAGATTAAAGATTAAAGATTAAAATTTCACCAATATGGACAAAGAAATTTTGAGTCCTTTTGTTTTGATTGGTCAAACTTCAATCTTTCAATCTTCAATCTTATTCTTCAATGCGTAGTCTGATTCCGGCCTAAGATAATTGATTATCTTAACAGTAAAACACGTCTAATGCCTGTTTCCACCAATGTAGATTAACTTTAATCTCGGTTTAACTTACTGTTAATTTTTTTCTAATTTTTAGAATTATAAGAAAAAGATCAAAAGCGAATTGAACCGAGATTAAAATTAATCTGCATTAGTGGAAATGGACATAAGTGTTACACTGTTGGGAGATAGTTCAGCCAAGAGAAAACGCTATAAGAAAAAAAAAGTTGTATTTAATATACATATACAAAGTGTCTGATAATTCTCCTGACAATTCAGGAATATATAAAAATAAAAAAAAAATAAAAAGTATAAAGATTTTAAGTTCAGTTATAATTTTTCTTTATTTTAAGTGCTTTTCAATACGTTCATAAAAAAGAGAAAACTTTAATTATAAATCGATTAATCGATAATAGCAAAAAGGATAATCGATGACAATCAACTTGGGCTTGCAGCATAATCGACTTAATCGATTTCGCAAAATGGTCGATTATGCCCATCACTAGTTGCTGTTATTAAACCAATATTAAGTTGGTAAATGTTAAGAACACCCCAATCCACTCAAATTTTGATAAAAATATACTTAACCGATGTGTTTTTGCATGAAATGAAAAAATCTGATAAAAAAAACGTCGTTCTGCCTCGCGGACCGAAATATTAATCATTACAGTTTACAACTATTCATATTAGGAAATCTGTCACAGATGCGAAGCAGAATACTGCGTCACTGTGATGCAAACATACTTCGTTTTCTTCTTCGCTATTTAATGACCCTGGTCCTTGTTGACGAGGTGAACTTGGCCAGTCATACTAGACACAGTCGAATCCGGCACTGCTTTCCGAAAATATGATGCAACCGCGAAAATGGCGTAGCACGAGCCTCGAGCCAGATCGCGGACATGCATCTAGAAGAAGATATGCGCAATTAAAGTCGGCAACACTCCCAAAAACACCTGATCCAAAACGCGTCCGTCACAATTAAACAGTTCCTCGGAACTATGATACGCTCTCTGCTACAAACATAAAATTAGTGCTTCAAAAACAAATTCTGTTCTAAAATACAAATTCTGTGCTTCAAAATTGTCTGCTCTCAACGCAAATCTTATAAGAGTACAGATGAGGGTTGATTGTGTATCTCGAAAGGAGATGAAACTGATAAAAACAGATTTGTTCACCAAACTGACCAATAAAATTATAAATATTTTAGTGAATTTGCTTATTCTTGTAATTTTCACCTCATTTAAGACACACAATCGATGCCCTGACTGTTTTAATCAAAGTAATAAATTTGTTTTTATAGCACTAAGGCTAATTCTACAATGTGCTTTTTGTTTCCTGTTTCTTGCTGTTTATCTCTGTTTCTCTCTTGACTTTTCGATCAAGAAGGCAAGAGAAAACAGTAAGAAATAGGAAACAAAAAGCACATTGTAGAATTAGCCTAAGAGTCGATTGTGTATATCTTGAAACAAGGTAAAAACTACAAAAGTAAGCAAACTTACTAGGTATTGACCAATGAAATTATTAATATTCTTATAAAAAATTTGCTCACTTTTGTAATTTTTCATTTCAAGATACACAATCAACTCCTTGATATAACTAATGTTTGTAGCAGAGAGCACATGTCGCAATACAGTATTTCTATACATCTAACTGAGGCAGATTTCGTAATCTCAATAGTCATGAACATTAACGATTAATATCTCAGTTCGCGAGGCAGAGCGACGCATTTTTCTGCCAGATTCTTTCGTTTCATGCAAAAACGCATCTCAGTTGGGTATATTTTTATCAAAATTTGAGTAGCACTTTCTCTCTCAACATTTACCAAATAACCTTCCTCTTTCTTTTCTTTTCTTACAGACGCACCAAAAAAACAATGAAATGCTTGCGTCCTAGAAACGTGCCGCTTTTAAAAATTTCGGCCATAACTGTTAACGGCTCCCGCCTCCCTAGAGTAAGCAACAAGAGCAGATCACGTCTTAGGCTGCGGTCCACTTGCTTCTTCCAAATGCTCTAAACACTACGCTTTAAACCACTTTAAACACCACGTTTGAGTCGGTCCATTATTATTGTTCCGAATGCAACAATCGCTACGTAAACGCAGCCTCAACCCACCTTCCGGGGTGAGGCAGCAGGAGCGAAAACGATGAATTACTGGATCAGAATTACTGGAAGCGTTCCGAAGTGTCAAATAGACTAGTCGTGTCTCTGTAGCAGGCTGCTTTCCTTTTAGGAGACATAGTCGACAAACTTGACACAAATCGACAAACGTCGCTTTCCATTTATAATTTTGTTCAAATCAGTTCAAATTCAATCGACACACACTTCGCCCCTGATCGGGAGGAGAATCAGATGGCTGATTCGATTCATATGCACTGACACGGTTAAAGCGGGGAGCACAGACTTTTGCATAACGCATAAACCATATACATAAAGAATTTGATTGGTCCACTGACTCATGCATAAGAAAATGGACCAATGAAATTCCTTATGCACATGCTTTATGCGTTATGCAAAAGTCTGTGCTCCCCGCTTTAGGGTGCAAACCCATGCAGCGGAATAGCGTAAAGCGGGGAACACAGACTTTTGCATGACGCATAAACCATATACATAAAGAATTTGATTGGTCCATTGACTCATGCATAAGAAAATGGGCCAATGAAATTCCTTATGCACATGCTTTATGCGTTATGCAAAAGTCTGTGCTCCCCGCTTAACGCGGAACGAGAGTAGAACCAATCACGAGATTCTCTAGACTAGAAACACGGAATGCTCGTTATTGGTTCTGCTCTCGTTCCGCGTTAGGGTGATTTTACATGCAGCGCGGAACGCGGTACGCGGTACGCGGTAGGCGGTAAAGTAACTAGGAACCGCGCGCGGTAAGCCGCGCTAATTTTCTCCTATTATTACATGGAGCCAGAACTGCGCGGAAAAGCGGCACGGACTAGTGACAAGTTGACGTTACTATGCACTTTTTAATGAAATTAATAGATTTAAATGCAATTATTAAGCAGATTCGTTGAAAAAATAAGATTATTGATAAAATGTGCATAGAAATAAGTTAATACATTTAATTAATATTATATTTATATATAAAAATATATATATAGGCCCGTATTCAGAACGCACTTTTATCGATAAAAGCGCGCTTTTACCTCTGAAATTCTATACATGACGTAAACTATAGCATGTTAGCGCGCTAACATCGTTGTTGGTGCGTTCTGAATACGGACCATAATATATAACAATAACTGCAATAACTACATTTTAATTGTTCCTAATAAAATAACAAATATATATACATATATGTATTAATTGTTAAAATATCTCCAATATTTTGCATATATACTATAATAAATACTTTACCATATGCTGACGGATTGCTGTGATAAGCTCACTGAGATTATTTCGTTCGTTCCGTTCCGTGTTCCGTCAATATTTTTCTCATCATGTGAAACCCAGTTACGAAATAACGTAACGGAATTGCTCTGATTGGTTAACCCCTTCTATATGCCTTTTCCGTTGTTGTTCCGTTCCGCTATTTCTGACTCCATGTGATTGCACCCTAAGAGCGGGTTCACACCTTGATGAAAAAACGGAAAGCGGAAGAGCAGTTAACCGATCAGAACTCGCGCTGATAGTAAATAGTACAAAACTAACAGAAAGTCGACTACCTGATTGGCTACTGCTTTTCCGCTTTCCGTTTTTCCGTCAAGGTGTGAACCCGCCCAAATACATAAATTTTGGAATCAATTTTTATGCACGGTATATAGGGGAGTTAGCGATCTAGTGTTATATAAATATCTATGGTACTAACTAGTAACTTTCTATTAAATTATCTTAGGCCAGTATTCATAGTCATTTCTTATGCCTGGTTTATGCTTCGGTCTTAAGGTCTTAATCCTAATGGGCCTTCTACAATAATGGGCCTTCTACAATAAGCCGTAAGTCACAAATCATAAAGGTTGGATTATACTGGCCGTAATCTGTTAACTTATGCTGTAATCTGTAAAAATTGACCAATTATAATCGATTATTCCCCTCTCATTCGACTGTGATTGGTCAATTTTTACAGATTACGGCATTAGTTAACAGTTTACGGCTAGTATAAATGAACCTTAAGTCATAAGCTAGAAATGGACCAATCACAGTCGTCAATTTTTAGTTTCTTACTTCCGATTTATGACTTATGGCTTATTGTAGAAGGCCCATAAGCCGTAAGGGTTGGATTATATTGGCCGTAATCTGTTAACTTATGCTGTAATCTGTAAAAATTGACCAATTATAATCGATTATTCCCTTCTCATTCGACTGTGATTGGTCAATTTTTACAGATTACGGCATAAGTTAACAGTTTACGGCCAGTATAAATCAACCTTAAGTCACAAATCATAAGTCATAAGCTAGAAGTGGACCAATCACAGTCGTCAATTTTTAGTTTCTTACTTCCGATTAATGACTTATGGCTTATTGTAGAAGGCCCATAAAATTCAGCCAATAGAGTTCAAATTTCGGTTAGAACTGGCAGCTTTATTGGTTGAATTTTAAGATCTTGGGATTAAGACCTGAAGCATAAACCAGGCATTATTCAAGACTGTCTTAAGTAATGTCTTAAGACGCGAATGCAGCCCTTTGATTGGTTTTTGACATTTTAAGACTGTACTTAAGACGATCTTGAATATAAGAATTGACTATGAATACCGGCCTTAATTTTAGCATTATGGCCCGTATTCAGAACACGCTAACAACGATGTTAGCGCGCTAACATGCTATAGTTTACGTCACGTATACTATAGAATTTCAGAGATAAAAGCGCGCTTTTATCGATAAAAGTGCGTTCTGAATACGGGCCTAGTGTAACATGTAATTCTCTAAACGTTTTTTCGATAATTGTTGTATCGTTAACTAGCGACAGCCAATGAGAGCCGCGCTTTCTTTTAGGATTGTCCTGCCATTGGCTGTCGCTAGTTAACGATAGCAATAATCATCGATAAAACGTTTAGAGAATCCCGCAACTAGAGTTCCTGTAAGGCTGGAATCAGACTACGCATTGAAAATTGAGTTTGAAGATTAAAAATTGAAATTTGACCAATGAGAATAAAAGAATTTTTGCTCCTATTATTTTGATTGGCCAAATTTCAATCTTTCAATCTTTAATCTCAATGTTCAATGCGTAGTCTGATTCCGACCTAAGAGAGTGTGTCAGTCTTGTATAAATTTTCATTGGCTTTGAAGTAAAATGGCGGAACCAATCATCGATGCTGTTATATCCCCACTTTTGAGTAATGTGAACGCGGAGGTTTAGATTTTAGAAGTTGTAAGAGTAGAATTTACGTTAGAATATATAATATTAACAAGTAGACAAGGTTAGAAGCGTCACTTTCGACCACATAATATCTGTATCTTTTATATATTTTTAATTCGAAAGCTTCATAATAATGTATAGACTTAAGCCAGCGGCACACGGTGTTTGTTTTCCTGCTGGAGTGCTAGCTAGATCAGATTCTTGCCATCGGATTGGCCGCGATATTGGCACTTTCAGCACCGCAGCCAATACGGTGGCAAGATTCTAATCCAGCTAGCAATCCAGCAGGAAAACAAGCACCGTGTGCCGTAGGCTTTATTTATAATTTTGATATTGTAAGAGCTGGATCGAGAAAAATATCGAGACTCCACCGGTGCCGGGACTTAAACCGAGGCCTCGTTGCCGTTCGTATTAGCAAGCTTTCGTCTTGACTTTACGCTCTTCGTAGTATAAGGTCTAGCGCCCCTTTCTGCTAGAGTCCCAATTAGACGCCATTTTACTTCAGATTGACACAACTCTCTTATAGGGACTCTACCCACAACAGAACGCACTTTTATCGATAAAAGCACGCTTTTATCTCTGAAATTCTATAGTATACGTGACGTAAACTACAGCATGTTAGCGCGCTAACATCGTTGTTAGCGCGATCTGAATACGGGCCGATATGTGTATTTAATTAATTATTTTGATGCATATTTTACTAATTTAATACATTATTCTTTAAATACATTGCTGAAATTATGATTATTTAATAGAAAATTACTAGTTAAGGGTATGGACAGTGTGAAGGCCTGAAAAATCGGAGGTTCTTTGGGAATTTTTTTTTTAAATATAATTAAGTCAGGTAATTTTGTTTTATGGCGTTTTTATTGTATCAATTCTGAGGTACGTAAAAAAAATTTTTTGTCTCGATTCCTTATATATAGGCAGCTGTACAAAAGGGTAATCTTGAACAGTTACTTTTGCCTCGTTGACAGCAAATCAAAAAATCTACTCGACCTATTGACTTGGTGTAATTGCATTTTGTTCAGAAAACTTACCTCTATCGCTGGACGTAGCCGTTTTTTAATTAATAAAAATTTCACAATTTTATTCAACTTTTTTGTAACAATTAAGGCTTTTCGTAAAAAAGGCCAAATTAAAAAAAAATTCATATGTCCGCCATTTTGTTACTTTTTGCAATTTTGTAATTTCCCTACGTCCTGCTATAGAGATAAGTTTTCTGAACAAAATGCAATATACTCGTACTCCTTAATACGCGTATCAAGTGCTCGGTGTAAAAGGGGTCAGTGAATTTATATTCGGACCAACCGAATGAATCGAACGAGTGCAAGAAACATTGCACTGACATTTTTGTCCCTTACTAGGACCTCTAGTTTCGAGAAGTCGCTGCGATGTAACATGTGACGAGTTAACACGTCATAAGGATGTGTTTGTCATGTATAGTTGTAGGCAGGGTATATCGTATATATTTAGCGGAATTTATAACGATAAATTTCATCAAAAACTAACTTGGAAAGAAAAGGGCACTAGGAGTCAAGCGCAGACTTCACACAACGCCAATATATATCAAGCAAATCTATTTATTACAAACAATTAATCTAAATTTTTTACAAACAATTAAGATAAATTTCATTATGTATGAAAAGTCAGAAATTAGGAATTATAAATATAATGGTTTCATTGTCAAAGGCGGAAAATTTACTATATTAGAAAAAAAATGTTATGGTTTGACTTTTGTTTGCGTGCGCATTTATAGTGTGAATTTTAGTTTATTGTTATTTTATTTTAATTTATAATATATTAAATGTTTTATTAGTTCACACATATAATATTGACTCTTAATTGCCTTTTTATTTCATTGACAATTTTTAGAAAAAAAAATTCTGTATTTGAATCCTTTATTGTGACGTCACTGAAAAGTAAGATATTGAA